AGGCGATACCTTCTCACCATTGTCAAAAGAAATCCAGTCACCTGTGATGTCACAGCTCATTTAAATCAGATTTCCATCGGAAATAAAAGCATCTTTTATGAAGCATCGTATTAGGAAGGAGAACCCACTGGAGTCTCCAAAAACTAGATTATGAGGGAAGTATTTCAAAAGTAGGGAAAAAGTAAAAGGAAGGAACGTGTACAGTTTTAAAACGTCTGATAGTCTTGTCAAATAAGAACTAGACTCTTTTGAAATCAATCATGTTATACACTTGATCTTAACAGGTTTGAGCAGGACTTAAAACATTTAACAAAACATTTAACAGAACATTTGAAAAAAATGATTCAGAACATGTTTTCATATTCGATTTCTTAATCATAAAATTGCAAGTCTCCTAATTCCGCATGCCATAAGGATTACAAAGCCACGTCATCCTTCTTCTCTGAACTAATAAAGTAAGTTACACTCCAAGTGCATCAACTTGCTACTATTTGCCAGACTGAAAAGCCTCATACTTTGCTAATTTCACTCACAGACTCTCGGTCTGAGAGAGCTCTGACTATCTGGCAAAGCAGAGTCTCACAATAATCACATTATTTAGGTCAAGAGCAAGTGATTAAAGAAAAAGGATGGAATGCCAGTGATAATATTCAATGGATTTCGTAGTTAGTCCAGGCCTTTCAGCCTGCTTCAGACAGGAGCACTAAAGAGCAAATTATATTTAAGAAAGAAAAATACTGACAGCTCATCAATTGATTTTCATTGAAAATCCTGAGAAAAATTAATAAAGAAGTTAAGCTGCTGAAATACAGTTTCACCAATTAGCTTAATGTCAGAGAATTCTAATTAGGCGCCTTGAGATTGCTATTTAGTGTTTAAGCCTTTAGAGTGCCAAATTCTCCCTTTCACACAAACTGGTTGCAAAATTAAAGACATTAGGCAGCCTTAATTATATTATCAGAACAGCTGGGATTAGGCAATCTCTGAAGTCAAGGCGGTATTCTTTTGTCACAGGGTAGAAATCCCTTGCTTTCCAGGGTGCCGGATTTTGGTGCTGTTCCATATCTCACCCATACAAAGCAAGCTGCATTAGAAACAAAAAAAAAAAAATGAAGACAAAGAACAGAGTAATGCTTAGCAAATAATGAACACATTAAGGAAAGAGAAAAGGTAGGTGAAAAGATTAAGCCTGAAATCGGTAGGTTTTGCTAACACCTCAGCTGGCACCCAGCCTACCGAGCCTCTAGTGGCAGAAAGACTAAGAGAAAGCTCTGTAAACCAGCTTGGCTAGTGGATACAACTCTGTTATCTAAAGCTAAAGCACATTTTGTACTCTCTTGTCCCATGGGGTGTGAAATTAGCAGCTATTGTTTTCACACATTTTTATAAACACAATGCCTTTTATGTCTTTACATTGTTTAGACTGCTATGTTTTTCTCCTCACAAGGGAATCTTTTTTTTCCTCTTTATTCAAATTTTAAACCGACAGGATTTTTATTCTAAGAACACGCTGGCTTTAAAAAAAACCAAACAAACGCACCATTTTATCGACACAAACTTTAGCTCAACACAAACATTTAGAAACTGGTAAAAAAAAAAATCTCTACACTTTTTAGTCTGTAATTCAATCAAATTACTATTACACAGATAACATGGCAGAGAGGAGTTCAAGTGTTCAGCTTGAAACAAGCTTTTAATATATCACAAGGGAGCCAGAACTACTCTTAATCAAGTGTTACAACCTCCCTTACATAGTTCTCCTTGATGTAGAAAAAAATACGCATTGGCTTTGTTATGATGATCCTCTACATTTAAAACCTCTCCCCAGTTAATTTGAAACGACTTCGGTTGTGAACATCTGTGTGGGCAGAGGCCTTTTTCTTACAGTTTGTAGAAAACTTTTTAACTGCTCTACTTTCTGCCTCTAAAAACATTAGGAAAAACCAAACTACTCCTTCAATCCAGTTAAATAAGAACAACATAATGACAAAGCAACAACTAATTTTCCTGATTACAGTCACACTGAACTACAGCAACAACACTGCAGCAGAAACAAAATAAATCCATTACAGCTTAAAACATCTGCCCCATTGGAATATTGCACTAATGCCCTCTTACAACTCCTTACACTTTAGAAACATGTTCTGCTTCAGCACAGAAGTTTGAAGAACAGTCACCATATTAATTTGAAGAAAGAATTTTTTTTCCCCTACAGGTTAAGAGGTTTTTTTTTCCTTGTATTTGCGCTTAGATTGTGTTCAAGAGTGGTATCTTAGTTTTTTCAGAAACTAGGAAGCAAAGTACATGTTTTTACTCTAAAATGACTGTACAGTCTGTGTGTGCGTTCACATATGTGCATGGAGGATGGGGCATGGTGGGAAGAAGAACAGGAGTATGAGACAATACGCAAGTATACATCCTAAAAAGCACAATAAGGTGAGACTTCCCACTGGATACGAACAACAAGGAATGGATATTCTTATTTGCACTGCAACAGAAATTCCAAGACAAAGGATGTGGGCAGCAGAGATGCATGGTTTCTCCAACCTGGTGCATCATGTATACTTGTCTGAATTTCTGATGCATGATCAATAACCAGAGATGACACTGACCGCCAAAACTCCAACTTAAGCTAATACAGAGCACAGCAAGGAAATCCAATCCTTATCTAAATCGGTTAATCAAATAACCACACATAGGAAGGAAAAATCCATGCCATGGTAACTATGCAGTTCCTTCATCTGATAGACAAATTCCTACTGCGTTCAGAGAATGCAGTTTGGCCAACAGCTGTGAACTGCCACCCTCTCTGCAAAGGAACAGTGCTAGTAAGATACCTCAAACCGTTCCCTCCTTCACAGCCCTTTGTCACTGCTTCTACCTCCAGTGTCAAAATTCTGCAAGCAGGGAAGTCCACAAAAGCCACTATCATTAGTTGCTCAAGTTACCTTTAAACCACTTTGTTAATTCATGCTATGCTAGAGGCTAGAAAAGCAGTTGACATCAAATAAGTAATCTTACGGGCTTCTCCAAATTTCAGGAGGCTTGAATGGCTGTTCTGTTAAGTTGCTACACAATCTGGGTTCTCCAGAGCTGGACAGCCTGGACCTCACATGCAGCCACCTACTTGGTCACAGTTTAATCCCTTATCCAGTTGCTCAGAGGAGGTCACTGGAAGATGGATCTGCTGCCTTCTTGGCACTAACAGTGTTACAATGGAACTAGAACCAATGCCATATTTACACTGCTGCTGTTTTACTGGTATAAAGAGGCAATACAGAAGTGAGGATATAATTTATTAGTCCCAATCAGGGAAGCATATCTGTGAGTCAACACAGCAAAGCCAACAAAAATTAAATGAGAGGAAAAACACTTCAATCGAGAAGACAGAGATGCTCCTTATTCTGCATCTTTTAAAAGCAGATAGTACAAGACTCCAAAAGACCACTTTGCTCTGAAGCAAAAACTCACCTGCCCTGCCAACTCCAAACGTTTATTTCCATAGTAGTCTCTGTCATCTACTTTATTTTCTCCTTGAGCCAAAATTACTCTGCGCACCATCACTGCTGTGTATATGCACTTGGCACGAAAATTGAATTCCTTTACCTGTAAACAAACAAGAAAAAAAAAAACATACTCATGTTTCAGGATAAGTTCCTTAGTTCTTATTCAGACAAACACATCCATTTAAATCAATGGGTAATCTGGGCTGACTGAGGAGTTACGAAAGAGATTTATGTGCTTTACCCTCTTAAAAAAATGCTAAAAGTAATATAAATTAGCGACATTCAAACAAATAGTAAGTGAAAACAAATCAGAATAAAGGTATAGATCGTGAGAACAAGTTCCTGAACTAACAGCTAATACTGCCTGAATATGCCGAAAAAATGCACAGTATGATAAATAATTCAATGGTACAACATTTCATAAACATACAGATTACTTTTGACTCAATCCAAATCTCCTTTATTTTGAGGATTATTTACTTTATCTCAGCTACAAAGCAATCAAAGACATTTTTCCCTGCCAGCACTGCTCATACCATAAATTAACCACACAAATTTACTCCAGTTTAAAAAAACCCACGTTACTTACAAGAACGTGGGTCAGAATAGTTGATGCTAGCAGCTCTCGTGCTTCTTCCATCTTTGTCTTCTTTGGGCCTCCCCACATTCTTTGCCTTCGTACTTTATTTCCAATGTACTTCAATGCCTGTCAAGGAGTGAAATTAATTCGAGTTAGTATCAGAATTGTAACCTATACAAATACACACACACACACACAGAGATCTGTATGTATTCTTCAGTCAGTGCAATCCCACCAGCCACAGATGATACAAACTCCAAGCAAAGTGCAAAATACTAAACATGTAAGTGATGCTAATAAAAAAAAAATTCTTGGAAATAGACACAATTGATTATCATTAAATATATATGTTGTTTATCATATGCTGATAACATCTGGAAAGAGAAGTGCTGAAAAACCATGATTATCACAATATTAAAAGAAAGAGGATAGCAGAGATATAGGAAAAGGATTAGATGAATTCAAAAAATATCTAGTTTATTTAATTTGACTTTTCACCTCCAGTTCTTTTGTGTACTTGCTAAGCTTCATTCAGATATTAAACCATGAGGTGGTACTCACTGTTTAATAGGCCCAAACTCTAACCGTGTGGCATCCACATCTGTCTCCAAGAGTACCTCCCCATGATTAATGGATTCTTACTCTCTTACCAGTTGTCGAAGAAACAGAATCAGTCTGCAGAATTCGGGGTCAGATGAGTCAAAGAAACTATCCAGGTCCACAGAGGAAGATCCTGCCTCGAAATGAAGCCATGTGCCCTATGCCTAAGAATTATCCTCTCCACCAAACGATAGACTATCCTTTCCATCTGTTACCTTCTTCCCCAAATAGCTCAATTTCTTTTCATTTCATTTGGCATTTGTTGCACAGATTAACTTCTGTATTTCTGGCTTTCTACTTTCCTGGATGCTTCACCTTTCTCTATGTTCCTCCAGCATTACCGTTTTACTCTTCTGACTCTGAATTAGAAAGGTCTTCATGCTACCTCTAACCCTGAAAAGCCCCAAAAGATGCAAACTAGAAAGACGTTCAATTTACAACACTCAACATCACACATGGATAGACTTGATAAATTTTACAATAAAATAGCAGTCAACAAAATGGCCTGTGTTCTGGCTAAAAAAGTACACGAGCTGAAGAGAATTCTGGCAAGTCTTTAGCAGGACAGAGGGTGGCTATTATTGTGGGCTTTATGTAAGAGATTGGAATTGGAGAACACCTACTCATGATGAAATGGTCATGTCCACAACAATGGGGCTTCCGCAAAATGGGGCATGCAATTAGTTTTTTAAAAAAATGGTCATCATCCTCAACAAAACCCCCTAATCTTACGAACATCCCTACTTGTCACATACATTAAAACATAACCCTGGGCTTCCGAAAAGAAAGCATTTCTTGACTTGTTTTTTTTCCAGTTAGGCCATGAGAGCAAAGCCTCATTTTTGACAAGTCCTGTCCCCTTAAAAAACCTCAGCTTGAAATAACCCCCCAAAAAACAAACCTCAAAACACAAAGTGTACGTCGATTGCTGACACAGCAAAGTGGTCAATACCCACCGTCTTTAGATTCTTATAGCCTCTGGCCATGTGAAAAGACACACCTGCATCTGTGTAAAAATCTGAGCTTTTTGGCATTCTTCCAGACTAGGAGCAAATGCAGCCATCACATGTTCCTCTGTGCCAATCATTTGTACAATCTCTTGGTCACTCTCAACACCCATGGCCTAGGAAAAGAAGAAAGGACAGAAATAGCACAGGCTTTATGTTAACTCACTGACATTTGCTTATGCTAATTTGGTATTGTTTGTCTGCATTACTACTAAGCAAGAGCTAGTTCTTCTCTAAGAAACTGTGCCATCTGGCACTGGTAGCACATATTCTAGCAATGGAAGAACGCTAAATGGAAATCTTGATAAGCAGAACACACACTCTTTGGAGAGCGTCTTTTTCTTCGCTGACAGGAGTTAAAATCTATGCTTTTTCTTAAGAAAAAATAAATACTAGGTAATAACAATTCTACATGCGTAACAACAAAACCAATTCAGAATCTACAACAAACACAGGAAGGTGAAATTTCTTAAAAGATTACACACAGCCTCTCATCACAAGCAATTCTGCAAACTCAGGTGACTGTGATGTAGCACGTCCCATTTGAAAAACGTTTACAATTTACCTCTTTTGCAGCTCTCTGCATTTAGAAGATGACTTCACTACACAATTCCACTTGAAAAGCCATTCCATTATTCCACTGATCCTTGGGACACCTTGTTAGACTTTATACTTCGGAAAAAGCTTAATAAACTAGGAAAGCGCTTAACAGGTTTAGAAAAATCTCCCTAAGTGTTTCAAGGTGGCAGCCAGCAGCGAAGGCCTTTGTGGATTCCAGATGGTGCTAAAGCTCTCCCCTTCACACATTTGCCTGGAGCTCTGCCATATCAAGAAACAGAATAATCTCACTAAACCTCTTCTGGCTGAGTTATAATATGTTTCTCAGAACTCTGTGAGGAAGTTACGTTCGCATTCATACTATTCTTCAAACTGCCTGCCACAAAGACCGTTGTAAATAATGGCCTATGAAGACCCTAGTATTCTGGTTCTTATTAAAAATTGGCAGCATCCCAAAAAGTTACATTTTCCTCAAAAATGCACAAATACCTTCCCTTCTTATTGCCTTCATTAGGTGTCACTTTGCTTAACACCTAGCTAAGCTATCCTCTTGCAAAACTGTTGCTCTAATTGTGAAGTATCCAGCTTTTTTTTTTTTCTCCTTTTTTCTTTCATTTCTTCTGTATTTTTCAAGAAAGAAATGGTTGGTTGAAGTCACTTTAACTTAAAACTCTGTCTCTTCACATTGTGGTTTATTTGAAATTAAAAGCAGTGCAAATGTATTACTACACATCCTCACCCTTTTAAATAAGGTCACACAGTAGCCAAAAAACCTCAGCAAAGAAGTTAACAAAATCCCTCATTACCTGAAAGCTGGACTCATAAGAAAGTCTACAAAAGCATGAAAGCTTCACAACAGTCATTTTCCATGCGCCTAGGACTTCACAGTTGACCAGCAAACCAATTTAGGAACTACGACTGCACTCAAACAATTATTGCACTCAGACTACAGAAGAAAGTTTTATTCAAGTAATCTTTGTGCCGTTCTAGGCACATATACCAGGAATATATTTATCTAAAGCACATCAAATGCAAGCTGATAAGATCACCCTATTTCTGTCCACCAGGTTAATTTTAGGATTGCAACCAGATCGTAAAAGTCTTGTGAAAAGTGAACAACACAACTGGTGGGGAAAAAAGTCAACCTGTAGTTTTACTATGCTCTTTTGTCCATTAAAAAAAAAAAAGCCACAGTAGATTCAAGAGAGTTGATAATTTCTTCTAACTTGATTAATTCTTTGATCAAAAGTCTGACAGCAAAAAGATGAGAACAGGACATGTCTTTACGCCTGTGTACATTTTCTAATTGAAGTCTGAAGCAGCAAACTCACTTGAGAATTCTGAATTTGTTTGTGGGAAAGGCTGGGATCTGCCACCAAACAATGTATGTTGTATTGTTAGATAAGTGCAAATTAGGGGAAATTAATTTAAGAGTAATGACTAAAAACTTAGGCAAATGACTGAAAAAGATGTGCTGATACAATAGGCTATAAGTAAACCCTTTTATTCACCTCTGTGCTCTCAACAATCAAAGGCAGAGCTGCACGCACAAATCCATCTACATGAAACACTAACAGGGCAAGCAACAGGCTCATGCTGGTACCAGGTAGATTTGTAATCTTAACATTTTCTTTTTTAGTAAATTAGGCCCTGGCGTCGCACTTCTAAAAAAAAACAAAACCAAACCCAAAAAAGTACTCCAGAATTAGCCTATAGCATCACTAGGATAGAAACAAAACGTTCCTGGGTTGTTGCTTGCATTACAGAAACACTGAGGACATGAAAAGTAGGAACGGGTCTTACACTTAAAGCGCTCATGACGCCAGGACAAAGCTGAGGGAAAGGGAATTAACATAAAAGCAAAGCAGGAGACAAGATGTCTTGTTTATTTTTGATTGGAAGGCAATGTTACAAAGGGATAATTTTACAGGATTGTGGAGGGGAAGGAGACATTGCAAAGGGATAACTGAACAGTAGCAGTGAAAGGATGAGGAGGGAGACAGTAGCAGGCTGTTGAAGAGCATGGTTGGAAAGCTAGTATGGACATAAGACAGACCAGTCAAAGAAAACATTCAGAATATCCAGACCATCTTGAGTTCAAGTGGGAGAAAGCAGTCCAGCTGGGTCAACAGCTTCCTAGAACTGGGGAGGTTCCTGCTGCCCAAAACATGTGTGTGTGCACGAGCGTGTGTGTGTGCGCACACACACACGTATATATGAGAGAGTGTACATGAGAGAGTGCAAGCCCAGCTATTCCTGCCACAGCTTGCGTCTTACTGGTGATGTCTAGGCGTTTCCATGGCACTTTCCCAGAATGTGGTTCTGCAGTCCATCAGGCTAAATTACAGAACGGAGACAGGCAGATGACTGGATTAAAAAGATGTCAGGGAAGTTCAAGGTTGACATCACAGACAGAATTGGTCTGAAGCTTTCATAATTCAAAAGATACGAGCTATGAAACTGCAGCCATGGGAACCTGTAATTCTGCAGATCCAGTGAGACCACCATTCAGCTGTTCCTCTAGAGTTGCATCTTAACAGCTCCAAGACTAACACAAGTTTGTAAAAACGAAACTTGACCTGCTGTTCAAATATTTTGCTGCAGGTCCTAGAGCAGCTCCTTATAGCTCCCACATAAACTAAAGATGCTTCACCTAATGATTCAGGTTGTAAAATTCAACTTTCAAGTTGCCTTAGGTTACTTCTAATTCTCTTCCTTCCCCAGTCAGTTTTGGTGCTGCATGCAACCTTCATTTACTTCAGCCCCCAGGACTCACTCAAGTCCACCAAATCAAGATGACGCATCCAAAAGAAAAATAGCCCCTACCTTAAAAGAGCTCTAACTCCCTGCCATGTAGGGAGCTTCCTGCAAAAGCAGCAGCCTCACCTCACCTGTAACCCTGATGTTTTTCATGACAGAAGCACCCTTAAGTACTACACAAATACTCCACACCTCCTCTAATGCTGATTGCTACCTAAAACTGTCCAAGCTCCCCCAGATAAAGCGTGCATAGCTCATAGCTTGACATACTCAAAAACCCCACTGTGCACTGTCACACAGCGCTGTCATCGGTGCACAACTGACACACAGCTAAAACAAAGGTCTCTTGGGGTTGCAAATCAACTCAGGACATCCTAAATATCATTCTGGTTGCATGTGTATATTGACTAATGAAGCAGTGTTACACAGTAAGCAGGAAGCAAATTAGTTGTATCTGTTTCCCATTACAAGGCAGTTAACAGCCCTTTAAAAACCTCAACAAATACATACTTTGGGAACACAACTGTCCAATTTACAGCACTATTTCAATCAAAAAATTGCATGCACGTATAAAAGGGCTGCACAAACACCTCTGTCACTTTCAGGAAGAAAGGTTAGGGAAAAAGTGTTTAAGCTAGCACAGCAACAAAGCACTAACTCCCCCGCATCTGAAGAGCAGATGCTCCAAGTCTATCCTAGAATAGTGCCAGAAACGTGCCTTTTGTAGCCTACCAAATTCCAGTTAGCTGTGGTCAATACATTAAACTTTACAAAACCACAACTTACATGTGTTCAGCACAACTAGCTGTTAAATCTCTGAACATACCAATCGCAAAGATCCTTACAGGTCTCGATGGCAGAAAAGCAAAGCAGTGGAACACGTCATTCGGGCTTGCAGTTTAGAAAAGACTATGGATAAAGATGAACTGCAAGGCAGATGCCCCCTTTAGGGTGATACTACACAGTCGAGTCCCCCTACCTACCCAGATCAAGGGACCTTTACATCCACACTACTATTCCCACCCCTCTCCACAAAACATGCACCTGCGTATCCTTCCTCTTCATGAAAGAAAAGAAAAAAAGGGTGGATAATACTCAGATATTGCTCGGGTCTTGCCCCAGCATGTAGCTAACGTGTCCGTGACTCATGCCTGAAACATGGAAGTGTTCTTAAATTCTAGTTAAAGGGAGCTCTTCATGAATTTTAGGCCCCAGGCCTGAAGGTGGGTGGTATCTGTAATGCTCTCTATTTCACAGCCCTTGCTTTAGATGAAGATGTCTAAGGGATATTAGTATACCTCCACTTTACAGTTGCAGTAGCTTTAAACCCAAATGAGATCACAAATCTCCAATACTTGCTTCCTTTTCTATAAAGCTACAATGATTTTCCGTACCTGACCTACATCTTAAGCCATCTGCAGGAACACTGGGCCATTTAACACTTTGGGATTAGAAAGACAGTCCAAAATTGCCCAACTTTCTCCTAATGACTCTCAGATAGTCCCTGACAAAACTGTCCCCTCTAGCTGGCCCATGCACTGGACAGCAGCCCTCTACTAATTACCAGTCATTTTCTTAGTCAAAACACAAAGGTCTGTGGAACCTGGTTGCAACCTAAATGTTGGTCTGGGAGGAAATGCAGAGCAATAGATTTTTGTCAGTCTTCTCGGTTTATTTTTTAATTAGAAATTAAACAAGCAGTTAAGCAAAGTTAAGGATGCAAAGGCACCCAAAACTTCAGACTTTAGATCTCTGCTTAACTGTACCCCTTGCAGATGTTTATCTCTATGTTACAAGAAGCAGAACACTTACTAGTAATGAGGAAGAGCCATCTCCATGCCCAAGGCTTGGGTCTCAGAAGAAAGGCATTATTCTCCTTGCTTTTCCAACAAATATCCTGTGTATAATACCACCACGTGAGAGACCTGAGACTACATGAGGATCCTTAACCTAGGGATTTTCCAGTTTCAGGGCTATAGTGTCTGTAACATCACTTCTAGCAGTTAAATATAACAAAGTCATATCTGTGTTACAGCAATGCCCAAGAAATAAAGATCAGAGGCTGGTGCCTTTCTAAGAATCCACTGAAAAGACTGTCTGGGATTTTTAGTTTCCATCTGGAAACTCATCAAAAGCGGACAGAAGATGCCTCAAGTTCACATGTCATTAAAGGAAAAATAAGGAAAATGACCACTCATGAGTACAGTTAAGTGCCAGTAAAGAATGTAACAGTCATAATAGTTAAAATGGGTGCAGCAATTCCCTAATGGATTAAATTAATATAAATCTTTGAAAAGTACTACTGCTGAGAGCTTCTCACAACTGTAACCCCTTATTTAATAAATAAATGAAAAATTAAGCAACATTATATAGAATATAAAAGATATATATAAGCAGGGGGATAATTAGAGCAAGGATTGTCAGAAGATGATCAAATAGTCAGTACAATGCTGCTTAAAAAAAACCAACCACAACCTCCTCAGACTTAATAACTCAGAGCAGTTACTCTTCTGTGAGCAGATATTTATCTATACCAGCAGGGGGTGACAAAATGTAATAAAAGTCTGCAAGTGAAGGTGGAATCCAGCCGTTTGGTACTTGGAGCAAATGGATTAAGAGCCACATTAACACTTTCCCGCAACAGAAAATGGTGAACTTAATTCTGACACTTTCACGTGCATTTCTGCCCACAAATCATTTCTTAACACTGGTCACGAAAACCAGATGATCTTCTCCAACTACTTGAAGAGATTAGCTTAATCAGAGATAGCAGACATTTGTTTCTCAAGTCTAAATCCAATTATTAAACTATTTTCTAGTACCAAACTCAAAGTGCTTCCTAGAAGAAAACGGATTCTCATAACTCTCTATCAGCCAAAGAGCTGTGGTACTGCAGAAAAGTCTATAGTTGCTAACGCCAACAGATGAGCACAGCTGGCAGAAACTGTTTGGATGCTGTGAGCAAGTGCTGCCCTCTCCTGGCAATTAATTTCCTTGAGCGATTATCACCTTGACAAAACTTCAGTGCTGTAAACCATTACAGTGAAGACCAAAAGGGAGCTATAGGATTTACTTCTGTTGGTTGCTAGATCTAGTTGGAGGCATTTTTTGTGCCTAAGCCACCTTCCTCACAAACAGTACCTCCAAGACTGCTGCCCAGTTTCCTTCCGCACATGCACTGCACCAGGCTGCAAACCCACAGGCAGCAGCAAAGCCTACGGGACAGGAAGGAGCTACCAGCTCTTCGGAGACCAGGTTGTAGGCTAAGGCCTGGCCATGCCCTGCTGTCCTCTCCAGCAGTCAGACAATGCACGTCTGCCCACCACCTTCCCTTGCTGTAGTCCATGCATTCAATATCACAGACAGATGTGCTGCCAGCTCACTTCCAGTCCTGTTGGGCAGCTAGGGAGTAGTCATCATTACGTCTTCAGTTGTGTGCACCCTTGAGGGAACTAAGATGAGAGAAGCTGAGGGTGAAAGAAAGCAGTTCTGGCAGTTTTACAGGAAACGTGAGGCACTGTCACCAGCTCAGCTGGCAGGGCAAATACTCCCCAATTCTTGCCCAGAATCAGTGGTGGATGCCTCTCACAGCCCTTTGCCAGTCCCACTGGAGATCGCTTCAAAGTTACAACGCCTTGTCCGTGCATTCACTGCACTGAAGATACTGGTGAGTGCTCCTGACTCAGGCAGGGACTCTGCAGAATCCTGACTGAGGCAGAGTTCATTCTCAGGGAAAGGAAGTACACTGCCAAGAAATGCAAGCCGCTCTAGTACTCTTAGAGGATTAAGGAACAGGTCTAAGAATGCAAGACTTCCCCAAAGGCTATCAGTTTTGATTACGGTTATGAGTGGAAGTCATGTATAACAAGCTCACGGCTCTGTCATGTCCCCAGATCCGAAACAAAGGTTGTTGAGCTACTCAGCAGTCCACAAATTGGAGGCGGGGGTGGCAGAGACCAAAACCAGAAACTAAGACCCTTAACACAAGTTTGCAACATAGCTCCTAACAAAAGAAACCAAAACGCTTCTGACTTTCTGTAGCAACAGGAGCACAGGCCACAGTGCAGAGGGACCTTACAAAGCAGTAAGGGGGTGGCAGCGTTTGTCTTGGCACAGCAATGCTCTCCTTGGAGAAAAATACAGTGCTTTTTCTCCTTTCTGCTGTACAATAAAGACGACTTCTCAGGGGAAAAAAGCTTGCATTCTCTAAGCCCTGCCGAGTCCTTCTGTACGTACTGACTTCTGAGAGCTACTGCTGATCTTCATTCTTGAGCTACAGCACAGCTTTTTTTTTTTTTTACTCCAAACCAACAGTCCTATTACCTTAAATATGATGGCAATGGGAATATCTTCTGACAGAGTGTTGTGCCTCAGGTAAAATCTTCCTTGTTTAACAACCATATTTGTTCTGCTCTTCTTCTCATGAGTGGAACTGAAGTTAAAAAAAAATAGTAAATATGTCCAACAGAAAGATTGCACTGATGTTCCTAGAGTCTTCTGTATAAAACTGATCAAGCTTGAGCAATCTTTCAGCTGAATTAATCCCACTTTCTCCTCTTTTAAAAATTACATTAAAACAGCCAGACATCACCCCATAACTCCAAGGTAATAGGGTATTATCACTTGTGATGGGGAAGGTCAATATTCAACTTAAACAAGTAGCAGCCTGTACTTTTCAAAATCAGCTTTACATGCTTTTATCATCAACTTGGATGTAACTGGCAAGGTCAAACTGTGCACAAATATTGTGGCAACGACAGGCATGAGGTAACAGTATTTTGTGTTGTACGTTTAACCTCATCTAGGCTTACTGTGGAACAGTAAAGGAGCTAGGAGAGATTCGTGTGAGAGGCCTCTGGACAAGAAAAAACAGCCCTCACACTGAACAGTGACAAGCACCATATTATACCAGCATGCAGCTTAAAAACAAAATCAAAAGGCAAACAAAATATAAATAAAACTCAAGTTGAAGAGGAAAGACCAACTTAGACTATCTTGCCATTTTCAATAATTTGTGCAGTACAAAAATATTTGATTTTTGTTTCTGTCTCAATTGCCTTTAAAAGCTTTCCACCAATTTGATTTAAGAGTCAGACAAAAGGTTACATCCAATTTCCACTGAAGTAACTTCATGTTACTTGCTGCAAAATGAGACAAAACACCATCAATTAGGAAGCGTACTTTGTTATGTTAAAAATTAGAATTTGCTTTTCCTAGTCTGGGATATTCTGGGATGAATCCTGAAGCATATGAGCAACTCCTACTGATTTCTGCGGGAATACTATACTAACTGATTCTGGGATTTGATGTTTTAGTGTACAAAATGACAGCAGCAAAAGAGGGGTATTGAACGTCTACAGCTTTTTCCCATTAAACTATACTTGGAAGAAAAATATCCAGCTACATCAACTACAACAATGAACTTTTAAAGCTTTGGGTTTATCTCCCTTACGTAATTGCAGGCATTTACCATACCTGGTAACAGAAGCGCCAACTGTGCCTTTTCTATCAGCTTCCACAATTATTCTGTTTTTGGATAACTGCTCTTGAATAAGAATGACCTTCTCTACACCTTTAACAATGAAATAGCCACCTATTCAATAAAAAAAATAAAGATTTTGCATGTCAGAACCCTTGCGCCTTACTCACCTCCTTCAATATGACTTGGAATATAAATTATTAGAAAACAAATAGTAAGTACACAAAGGACAAAACAGGAAAGTAAATTCTCCCTTAAAAGAGTAAAGAACAAACTCTTGTTTGGAACCTATGATAACTACGAAAATGTTCCACTAAACTAAACAGAACTTTTGCTAGGCTCACACATGGTATTCAGCATCCAAGACTTTATTTGGGAAGTACTCAAACAGCAAGAACTCACAGGCAGATCGGAAACTGCAAAGCTGTAAAATAACCCAAACCTGTAAGGTAACCATACTTGCTAAAAGATGTTACAGAATTGTTAGTTCTACAAATTAGGTAAAGAGATTGCCTGTCAGAAGGGTATATCATAAGGACATGAAAAATAGCCAGCCACTTCAGATACTTAGTACTAAATAAAGAGAATAATTCTTCCATAATTACCAACTTGCTCTCTCCAGGGAGAAATTTCTTTTGCATTACTTTAAAAAATGTATTTTAATGCCTTTGTTGTGTCTAAGACAAAACAAGGAATCTGCACATAAGCCATGTTAGATTCCTCTCTTAGATTGTAGCTATCTGTTAATGCTCCTCCAGCACAGCATGCCATCACACCGTATCTTGCCATCACAAGCAAGCACAGCACGTCCAGGTCCAGCACATGCTTCAAAGGCAGCAGGTTAAAACCAAGGAAGTTGCTTAGTTTAACCCTTCATTTCCTCTCTACGTTTCAAATATTATCATGTAACACTTTAGTCTTGTTTTACAAAAGGCAGCACGTGAGAGTTCCTGCTCTGGAGGACATCATTATACTCCACTCTTCCCTGATCCGCTTTATTTTCATGAACGAACTCCATCTCTGTTCCCATACAACATATCACTGTACAATACTATAGACATTTCTCAACTTTTTCAAAGTTTTGGTGTAATGTTTTTGTGGCTGAAAACTCTGTCAACCATTTCTTACTGTTTTCAAAAGCCTTTTAGTTACAAGCATCATTTGAGAAGTTCCCACAAGGACTTCACAGTGGCAGGAAACATACCAATGGGGTATTTCTTTGATGAAACAGATTTAAAACTAAAAGCACAAATTGGAAGGAAGAAAATAAGTGCAAATGTACCTGGATCTAAGGGACATTCGTTAAGTTTGGCAAATTCTGCTGGAGTTTTCCCAGTAAGAACACAATTGGAGCTACGCAGCATTATAGGCATTCTGCAAGAAAACCAGTCACACTTTTACTTTAGATTCAGCTAGAAAAATACGAATAGTCAAATTCAGAATAAAAACCATGCTGAACAAACTGGAGAAAACACATTTAAGGTAATTAGAACACATGCAAGCTATGAACAACAGTTTTTCCTTTAATCCCACCTTATTTCATTGAACATGTAGTTTGAAAAGAGAGACCTAAAACTGGACATCTACTGGCAGAACATGCAGATTTCTTATTTATTACGTAGCTACTACAGGCATCCGTGGCAAGCATAGTCACCAATGATTACTAGTGCAAAGACTCCTGGGCCCAAAAAACGTACAGTCTGCAATGAAGAACATGCCATTGGAGATCTGCTGTTACCAGTTTTAAGCAGAAAAGGCTAGTTCAGATCTGATTTCCCACACCACAATCACACCTTATGGCTGCAGACAGATAGTGCCTCTAATACACAACCTAGGCATGAAGCTTCCCCAGTAGTAGCTCTGATTTCTCTGGAGTCTTAGCACAGAAGCCTGCAGCTAGCATTTCGTGAAGTGACATGAAATGGTGGAAAAATATTCCAAGAATTTAAAAACAAATTTTATGTTTAGGGAGTAGCGGGGGGGGGAAGGGAAGCTCAAGATGCACAGACTGGATATAAGGCAAAACTTCTTCACCATGAGGACAGTCAAGCAGTGGAACGAGCTGCACGGAGAAGGTGACCAGTCTCCATCTATGGAGGTCTTCAAGACCTGACAGGATAAAGCACTGAGCAACTCGGTCTGATCACAGAGCTGACCCCAATTTGAGCAGAAGGTTGCCCTAGAGCCCCCCATGAGGTCTCCTCCAACCTGAATTATTCTATCACAGTGTGATGAAGTCAGGGAATGTTCACGTTCATTTGGGTTTATGTGTTTATATTGCAGTCTTACTAGGAATTTGGCTTATTCAGCAACTAACTAGCAATGATTTTGCAGTTATTATTAAAAAGAGTACCTTTACAGTCAGCTTCATAATGTACCTTTTCACTCTCAGATTTTTTATTAAAACTTTTGAAAGAGAGCATATTTTACTCAGTTTGACAAAGGTGCATTTTGCAGAAGATAAAAAGAACTCATCACTACATTTACCAAAAGACCTACATGCTCTTTCGTCTCTTCTACAAAAAAGTGGACTTTTGATTCAGCTTACAGAATTTCACTTGGTGGTGGACAGCCTTTGTGAGACCTATGTTCCAGGTGTTTGCCAATATGCATTTCAGCAAAATTTATCCATGAGTTCTACTATGCAACTATTTGCAACCTCAGAGATATTTCATTCAAAATTACTCCAACAAAAAGTAAGATTAGGCCGCTCTTGCTAACAAAGTTATATTTATTTTCTTTGAATCTTAGAAATTATTTGAGTTTCTTGGCCATTTTCATATTCTTGTATCTTAAAAAAAAATTGATGAACTCAAAATTCTATATTTTTGAAGCGGATAAAAACCTATCTTGTCACCACAGTGCTCTATACAGATAACCTACTTGGTGCAGTCATTTCACTGAGAAAGTGTTTCCTAAAGATAAGAAGCTTCATATGACAATCATAATCTTGAATCACACACACAAAAATTCTAATGCATTGCCTATTTATATTAGAAACACTAACCAGCTGGCATAAAGAAACTCAAAACGCAGTACATAAATGCCATCACTGAAAACTCCAGTAAAACAGATGTCACCAAGTATCTATTCTTTATTTCACTTGCAAACAATAAAATATTTTGCAGCTAACGTAAGAGACCACAGTAAGTCATTCTCCTTTTGAGGGCAGAATCTAATTTTTTTTAATATCTGAAGTTATCAGGAAGAATGAGAAGAGAATTAAAAAAGAAAAGGGAAAATAAAGTTATTGAATTTCTGTGCATAGATACAGAATTTGGAATGCTATTAAGCATTCACAGGAAATTTTCCTTTTTAAAGACCTAAACATATTGACCTGGAGTTTTTTTGTATGTATTTTGGAGTAATATAAAAGAGCACTGTATATACTTACCCAGCAAAAGGAAACCAGCATAATACCAGGGATAGATGAGGAAAATTATTTCCCATGGAAATAACAACTGGATATTAACAGTTTCTAACAGCAAAAAGACTTTTTGCTTGGATGCCCTTAAAACCAGATGGAAGACATAAATTTATTTTTGAATGGAGAATATTTACTTTTTCTGCCATGATCTTGCTTCATAGGAAAAAGAAAAGAATTTACAGGAACAGGCCTTAATGTAGGATGCAACACACTAGTGCTGTGCAGTAATTTAGTCTTTTCAAGTATATTATGGATGCTTTACAAGTCATCTTTACCTTTTTTGGTTTTAAAGGGAGATGTAGACAAATGTCTAGACTAGTTTTTGTTGTGCTTCTTTTAGCTATAACTTAAAGTACTGTCTTTTGTACAGAAATTGATAATGTATTTTGGTGAAAATGCATGTTTAGTCAAGCTTTTTTCTTTGCCTGTAGCACACACCATGAAATAATTCAAAGGACTCAAATCCAGATGGTCTTGTAAAGAATTTTCTTTTTTTAAGGAATGACTTAGTACAATAAACTGTTACTACAGCTACAGAAGCTTGGTTTTGTAAACGCATTGCTGTGTATCATACTCTATTGACAGAGTTAAAGTATATTTTTTTTAATATGAGAGCCTAAAATTTCACTACAAGAAGTGTAGCTCCTGAAGTAACTATCTTCTCTTTCCTGCCAGTATTCGCCCTTTGGCAAGATGCACAGTCACACAGTAAACAATCTCTGTAAGACACTGATTTTTAAAGTCAGTAGGGCTGGTCTTTAAGAAACCTTATCTACCAAGGACAAACAACTTCATTGCCTTTAAAATGGAATTTTGCTTTCCATAAATGCTACAATTGCCCGGTATTTTGCCTTTTTGGTATGGTTAAGAGCTTGTTTTTCTCCCTAAGATGCATTAATTTTTTCTTTAAGAAATTAGATGTCCTTCACAATACTAATAACCTCGAGTCATTTGACAGCCTTCAGAAAAACAAAATCAGTAAAAAATCCTAAACATCTCTACACAAAGTTCAGTCTTGGCTCTAAAACAAAACAATTTTAAAGGAGAGCTTAACCCATATGCAAGAACTAATGCTTGCTTTACTGGTTTTACCATCCACAGATGTATCTCTACATATTATGTATGAAACACTGAAGTAATTTGGCTACAAAGCAAACATGGTTATTTCCATTTTGCAATAATGCAACTTGCATCTCTAGTAGTCTCTCATATATTTCCCTCTTTGGTTTTTTATCAGACAGACAACATCCATCCTTATATCCATCCTTTGGAAGGAGAGAGATTTCCATAACCTTTTGCAAAACAAAATCTTATAATAGAACCTAACAATCACATCCTGTACAGATGTTCATCAAGATTTGCCTGCTCACTTTTTCTTTTAGCAAGGAAGCAAGGTTAGCCTACATTTATTTTGCAGTAAAAACTCTTCCCAATACAGCACCAGAAGCTCAACATATGGCATCTTACCTGCCAATGGGTAATGCATTGCGTATGATCCTCTGGCTACCTCGTGTGTATTCAATGTCCACTGTTATCGGGGCAGAATAAGTCATGTCTCTCAGGCGGCACTAAAAGAACAGTCATGTGGTTAGATGTTGGCTTACAAGCTGAAGAGTCTTTCTTAAAACATCCCATGTTTGTCCTATCTCCTGCAAGAGCTCACAAAGAAATCAAACAAAACGAAGCTTGACCAAGCTCGTCATGGTATCTGGACTATGTTTGACAGAGTTTCCTGTTTAAAATAAAACAAACAAACAAAAAACCCTAACACAATTAATGTGATGTTTCAAAAGTAGCCAGTGGATTGACATCTTCAGAGGACAGCACTGCAGAATATAACTTCAAACTGTTTTAATTACAAGCAGGCCTAATCAGCAGAGCTGACACAAAGACCATACTATGCCACAGGCTCTGAGAGCAGTGCTCAGCTCAGGGACGTTTCCATATGAAGACTCTTTAACAGCTGAAGAGTTGTGCTGTCATACAAAGTTTGATAGAAGGGAAACACACGAGAGTAAGAGGAACACTGCACTACCTTATTACCAGAACGAGCAAATCTCACTGTACGGTACCATTTCTAAAGATGACTTACAGAAGGCTCACTACAGTATCACTTCCTGTAAAGATGCCCAGGATTTGTTTGCTAATTCCTCAGCTAGCAAGAGAAGCAGGATGCACATATCTAGGACATTATATTGCTCAAGGCTCAATCTTTTCTAATCTGTTCTTTCTGGTTCACTCTCCTCAGTCTCACTCTATGACTCTGTTGCTAGCCCTTAAGGTATTGAGCATCTTCATGCAAGACAAGGTTTATTTCATTTGCTGAACACAACAGAGCAACTCACAGCAGGTCATTCATGACTTCACTGAGCATTCTATACCTTTGAGCTCCAGGATTTTAGGTTTATCAGTATTCAGACTTGTACATTTATGGTTCTATAGCCTTTCAGTGTATTGATTATGCATTAATAAGAGGCAATTAAGATTCTGCTGTGCATTGAAGATGCAACTGTATGGAAGAATATGCCTCAAGAATCATTGCAAACTGTATACTCCTCCTCTCCACATTAAAAAGTAAACTGCTTCCCTAGTAATAAAATACTGATGTGCACCAGCAGTTTTCAAGATGTGACTTGTAGGGAACTAGGTCTCGTTGTGCTCCCAGCAACTTCACTGTATTTAAAAGTAACTGAGAATACTTCCATTTTCTAATTAAATTCATGCGTATGAATAGTTGATGAAAATCCCATAAGGACTGCATGAGAAGGAGAGTTGGACAGCTTCATTAGTATTACCTGGGGAAAAAAAGGCTTTGGGATTCTTTGTGTGTGCTTTGTACACACGAGAAAGACATTTTAAAATAAGAATTACACAGTGTAATATTCCAGCACTTGTATTTTTGTATCACCTTCCTTACACTTCTCCTACAGTAGACACCTAGAGGTAAAAAGACAGGCATGACTTGATAGTCAAGGAAACCAAGGACAGAAAAACTCCCAAACTTGGTTGAAAATAGGTAAAATACTCAGATCCATTTTAGGTGTCTTTAGGAAAGAATTTTATAAGCCCCTAACAGAGAAATGTAATGACATACTTGTATGCATCCAATCTTTCTGTTTTGTTGGTTTGGTTTGTTTTTGTTTGTTTTTTTTTATTGCACCCTGAGTGGACCTGATCAGTATCCTTATTAAGAAAATAACTGTGGCCTTCACGTGTGCAAAACACACTGTAAAAAAAAAAAGACAAATTATGCACTAGTATTAAGCATCAATGAAGATATATAACTGAAATGCAAAAGTAGGTTATTCTAAATTCCAGATCAATATGCTTTATGAAGCATTTATTTTGCCCTCTTTTGCGTGTACAATCACTTTAGTTACAAGACAAGTAAGCATTTTAATACCTGGATTCTTGGAGATGAGTTGATGGCCACAAACAATTTTCTGCATGCAATTTTATTTATACATAAAAAAATCTGTCCCGTTGCATTTTGTGAACGTTCATATCTACTGATTTAACATTAGCTACACGTTTATGAGATTCATGAGCTGCCCTGTATTACATCTAATTGCACTGCTGATAGCGGAGCTATGGGCCTTACATAAAATCTTCCCATCAAACTAAATGAGATTTGAGTCAGGTCACTGGAGACAGAAACATGGCTACGCACAAGGAGCAGCGACTAGATGGCTTTTTTTACAGAATTTCCCCAAAGCACAGAACGTATTTCATGATAGACTCTGAAGTGTGCCCCATACATTACATGGAAAAATAAAAATAAAAATCTAACTTCAAGTATCAAGTGTATACAGCAAGAAAAAAGTATCTGACATATGAACTGATTTATTAGGTTGCCAACAGGCTGTATGGAAGTAAATACGTGCAAGTTTCAAGCTCAGTTCCCATTCTGAGGCCAAAAAGTGCTGTCAGTACCTCTGTTGCAGTGGTATAAATCTCAAAGTACAGCAGCAGGAGAGGAATACTTTGCTCCTGAGCAACCTCTGAAGGGAACTGAATGGCTTTAGATACCTGGAAGCAACCCTAAAAGGTTCAAACCTTACCTTAGTTTATGGCTTTTTTATATGTACAGAAGCTACCTTATATCCTGCCAAAAGCAAGACTCTCTGATTTCAGTCACGGCAGCATTTGTTGTCCAACATGCATCTTTATTCCAGAAGTACACAATCCATTTGTTAACCTACACGCTTGCCGCAGTGCAAAGAAGCTCAATATATTCCCCATAAGGCTAATGTGCTTCTGCTGTTTCTTATAATTTTATCAACTTCCATTTGTTTCTGCTCAGTTTCCATGTTTGCTCTGCGACTCAGCCTTAAAAACTATGAGCAAAAAAGTCAAGGGATACATTCAAAAAAAAGACTGGGAGGGAAAGACAGACTGAAGTGACCTACTGTGCAGAGAGTAGCAAGGCTAATATTAAAAAGAAGTTAATAAAATCATCAAAGAACACTACACTGTAGCGTGAGGACTTCAGCTCTGTTGTAAGGAGAGCCACAAGATTAAGCACAAGAAGTACTTTTCACTACTTTCATGGTAATCCGCTCAAATATAGCTACCATGAAACACTGAATACTGCTATTCGTAAGTCAGGAAAAAAAAATTTAAAAAAAACAACACAACACTTATTACACAATATTTAAATCTCTGAGGCTTCTTTCTACAGTGATGCTCGCATGCATTGTACCACCTAATGTAGCATGCACGTACTCAAAGTTATATGCAGCTACTATCCAAGACATTCCCGAGATCAAAGAAACAAACAAGACAGATGCAAACATTAATACCTCGTGAGGTGACACAGGTCGTGTCACATTGAAGCTTTCTTCCACATCTGGAGTACCTACATAGATATTGAGGTACCTGTAATACAAACAGTTCCAAAATGAGCAACGAGCCAAATATTTTTCAGGTGACCTGAAGGAAGCAGAATTCTACATATACTGAAAGATGAACGCAGATTGATTAATAATGAGCAATGATTGTATTTGAGCTGTGTTCTGGTTAGGTAAAATTTAAACTGCACATGCAATAACTCCCAAGTTACCTTTGCAAATAGACAAAAAGAAACTCGTCTGTCATCTGAGATTACTAAATCACAGAAAAATGGTGACATAACGTATTGTTAACAGTTGGCTTTTAAGTCTGCTTCACGTGATTATTCTTTAAATCTTCCCATCTTTCAATGCTGCAAATAAGAGATAAGTCATGGAAAACACTCTTGATTTATACCTACACAGGTGGTTATAAACATTTTATAGTTGATAATAAGCCCATGAAATAATACATATGCTACTACTGATATGCAAATCATTTCATGCTTACTTCAAGTACCACATTGGGTCAGCATCACTTGTAACTTTTTCATTGGCCTTCATGATTTTCTTTATCTGGAGGAAAAAAAAAAAACAAAAACAAAATAAAATAGAATCACGTGTCTTTTCTGAGTATTAAGAGCAACTCTCTTCCCACCAAGAAAGCATACCTCTACATTGATGAAATAGTTGAATGAGTCTATATGCTGCTTCACAAGTCCTTTCACCTGGAAAATACATGCATGCAGCAAAGAAAATTAACTTCTGTAACACTAATAGCACAAGGCAGAAATAAAGATATAAGCATTTATAAGTGCTTTTGGATCTGTGCTAAATTCTTTCAGTTGACAAACTTCTGAGAAGGGCCTGCATAATCAGTCTGGTTCTACACTGTACATTTCCAGGTTTACAACAAAACTGTCATTGTTCTTTGTGTCAGAAAAGTAATTTGGTAACTGCACAAAGTAAACACCCAATAGACTTTGAAATTAATATAAACAAATAAGAGCCATTGCTAGTCAAAATATTATATCAGTTTGCCATTATTTTTAAATAACTGTAAGCATCTATAGTAGGATTAACCATCTGTGCTGATTGAGCAAGAAGTTGACTGCACCACAACAGCAGCTGGCATAAAGAAGAATGAGGGGGGGGCCCAATGAGATAGGGGAGACGGAGCACAAGTGAGCTGTGAAGACAGCAAGGAAAGAGTCACAGGAGGGCAGGACACTCATAAGAAATCTGAATTTGATTAGTAGGCAGGAAGGGAGAGAATATGCCCGGGGTAACATCACACAGCACAAACAGTACCCTGTTCCTCCAGGTAATGAGTTGATACAGTACATTTCAAGGATTCAAGTTTAAGGCGTTTAGAGCAATCAAAAGAAGGGGGATTATACTACGTAAAACAATCTGGGATTAAAGAAAAAAAGAAATATTTTGGCTTGAAGGAATACTAAGAGAAGCATTCATTTTGTTAGTAAATTGGCATTTGCAGAAATAACAGGTGTAACTATCCTAACTACAGTGCAAAATCCAGCCTTGAAAAGGAAAGAGTGCTAGCTGATATCGAGACACGTGCTTACATGCTCACAAAGGGCTTTCAGCTTTGAAGCCTCTCATGACAACTAACACGTTACAAGATTTAAAACTTCACACAGAAAACAGATGCGCTTACACAGTCCGCATGACAGGCAATAGTTCATTCTGAAATTATTAGAAAGAAATGGGAAGCTTGGAATGACAAATCCAGCTGCTCAGTGAAGCCTCCACGGGTTAAGACAAGAGAGGAATGACTCCAGAGAAAAATTATTTAGATAAGATTTTCCCTAATTTACAAAAACATTGCACATCAGATGATATAGGCAAGAAAACATTATGGATTTATTAGTGTCTAGAAATCAGGCTGGTAGTTATTCCAATTTTTTTATGAGGTGATATCAACAGCTTTATTGAAAGAAGACTCCACTATAGAAACTGTAATGCACAACCTCAGCTCTGTATAACTGTATCACTGCTGGCAAAAACAGACCAAAATGCAACAGAAAGACCAGACCACCATCAGCAGTCCTGGAGTAAAGGGCTCACTGGCTGGAAGTAACATGGGATGGATACACTTGGCATAAAGCACGCAGTAAATTGCACCTCACAATCAGTAGTCCTCCCTTTTTCACAGTCTCAAGAATTCAGACAATTATCACTAGCTCCAGCTCATGATGGAAGCTCATGTGGTTGCTAGGAGAGACACAGAAATGGGATTTATTAGGGCCTGAAGCATCTTCACAGTCCTGAACCAAAGTGACAACATACACAATTCGTAACTGACTTTTGAACCTTATTTTCCTGCCAGGATCAAAGACTCAAGAGTGCAACAAGAACAGAAGTGCAGGTATTGAAAATGGGAAGGAAAGGAATTAACAAAATGAGGCTGAAAAGAGAAGTGGGCAGCATTTCTGAAGACTGACGAGTGCAGAGGTGGTTGCAATTCCCTAAAGGTAACTTACACACATCACAGACTTTACCTGCTGTCTTTATGATACAGTTTTCATTACTGTCTTTCTCCTTCCACATTTCCAGGTAATTGTTAGCCCTGTTATTACATCCAATAGCATTTTATCTAGCCTTCGCCTGGTAACATTATATGAGTAGCACTGAAATTAAGACACTAGTAATCTTTCAGTTCAGTCAAGCTTTGACATTCACGAGGGAAAATATACATATATTCAGGCCTTTGCAGAATCCAGATCTATGGTTATATGCTTCCTATGACAAACACAACTACAAACGTAACACCACAGTCTCATATATAAGGACTACGAATGGGGTCTCTGGGTATCAGTAAAACTGTAAAATAATCTGGAAACATTACACCATATACCTTGTTCATTCAGAATGGCCACACGAAAAATGCCAACCTCTAGAAGGATGCCTCCACAACTTAATTTACAGATTAATCAAGAAACCAATCTATGTAACGAGTTTATTCATAGTTGCACAGAACTTAAAAAAAAATAAATCAAAAAATCCACACAGAGAGTGCGGACAAGTATTCTGGGAAACATAAAAAGATAGAGGAGGGGAATGTAAAGTTGGAAAGGAGACAGAGCATTCATGTCATTAAATAAGTGCATAACACTAACCTTTAGAAATGCTGGAAGAAGCCTCCATTTTTCCTGAAAACAAAAAACAGTTTGAAATAGATTTCCAAAGAGTGACCAAACATCTAAGATGCTTGAGCTTTTTTGTTTGTTTTTTATTATTATTATTTTTAAACAGCAATATTAAAATCAGAGGCACTTAGAAAAAAAAAAAAAAGACTGCCCAAAGCCAATCTAGATGAATAAAAACAAAACAAGGAGATGACTCTGATCATCTTAATAAGCCATACGTGCTATGCAATATTTACTCAGGACACAACAGGACATTGTCTTTTCTAAAAGCAATTTATGTGAGAGTATATATTTCTTAGAAAATTCCTTATTACCATGTCCTCATTTAGGAAAAACTAGGGTTTTTTTTTGTCCTTTTAACACTGTAAATTATATTCCTAGGAAGGGAAGACTTGCTCTGCTTTATAAAATACATGCAAGAATCTCAACCCTGAGAACAGCACTTGCAGACATGAGTCTCTGTAAAACCCATCAGTACCTTAACTCCTACAAAGATTTAGCAAAACTATCTAAACAGTGTTAAGGTAAGTCGAGGTTCCTACAAACTTTTCCTCATTTCTGTTCTTCGGTGATCACAGGAAACACCTCACATCAGCCTTACTTCCTACACCTATTGGCACGGGGAGCCCACCCCACGTGTGGAATGAGAGATGCAGGAGGAGGACAAAGGTGTGGAGGACCAGACAACACAGACCGAGGCTGCGCCACTCAGCTCCAGAAGAGGGTATGCCATAATATTCAGAGCATCAGCACCTCGTAATTTCAGTTTGACACTCAGCATTTAGAAGTACACGGCAATGCTGTAGTTGTGGTGTAACGCTGCCCCTCACATAGAGGAATTCACGGCCAAACACAACACGAGGCTCTCGGGCTCCATTTCAGACGTGCTCTTCCTACACCGAAAGCCCGGTCTAGCCTGAGGGTCCTGAAACCTGACCTCCATCTCCTCCCTCTCCTCATGCGAAGCAATTTGCAAACTTTAAAGGGCACCGAGGGCAGAAACCTCTGATTGCTCGTGTTGGCAGGACGCAGGCCAGGCAAACGCCGGGGGCGGAGGTGGCCCCTCAGCGGACCGAGCTCAGGTCCATGAGGAGCAGCCCGCGGGCACCGCGGGGCTGAGGTCGCCCCTCACCCTGTGGCGCCACGCACGGGCTGCAGACCCACCCGCGACCACCTGCGCAGGCAGGTGGGCAACTCCGCGCATGGTCTCCTTCCACCCCACCCCAGCCCAGCCCACCCCAGCTCCCCTCCGGGAGGCTCCGACGCGTGTCC